AACCAGGCTTTGGCCTCTAACTAGAAGGAAACACTTCTGAGCCCCAACTTCTTTCCGTCAGAAAAAAAGTTTGGAGAGGAGGGTGTGGCGGAGAGTTAAATGTCACTGAAGAAAAGACCAGAGCATGTAGATGCTATGTGCCCTACTAGAAAGGAGCCACTGCAGTTCCCAGGAAGGAGCCTTTTAAAAAACCTTTTTAAAAAGATGTTTTAATAAATACGTGATATATCTTTCCCAAGCCTAATTACAAGAGATTTCTGTAAATAAGGAAAGTAAAAGCTTTCAATAGCAGACTGCAGCCTAATGATGAGTGTGATGTCAAAACCATCAAACTCTAACAAAATTTTTTTTTCCTTCTGATGTTCATATAAATGAATGTTCTAGATACTAACAGTTTAATAGTACACTTCCCAGTAATCCCTTAGAATTTATTTAGAGTTACCAGAAGGCATTTCCAGTGGTGTGTAGACCCTAGATAAAATAGTCTTCAACTGTGTCTTGTTCCTTACTGGAAAGAAATTGCTTAATCCCATCTAAATGTAAATGAAGCTAACACCCAAAGATATCCTAGGATAAAAAGGAACTTCAGTTGGTAGCAGTCTTCTTTTTATTAGTTCATGTGGCAGACGCTAAGTACTGCTGGGCACACACACCCATGGAATGGGAGCCGCTCATCCTGCTTGGCCCTACTTATGCCTCTGCCTGTTGTGAATTGGTCAACACTGCTTTCCGGCCGTATTATAAGCCATTATTGACTTTACTTTTAATCCCTTTGACTCAATCTTGATTAGATTTGCAAGGACAATGAAATTAGCTGGGACAGCCTTTCCAAAATCAAGATCTATTATTTTCATTTTTAAAAAGTCATTCAAGTGGGCATTGCATGAATGCATTTTAGTAAATCAAGCCTACTTAGTTGTAACAATTGTTTTATCCTCTACAGATAAATTTTTTCCTTATGCTTATTCTAGTGGAGAATGAAATTCTTTGCTCCAGGAGTAGGAGGGATGACTCTTCTATTTTTCTGGAAACTTAGGTCACATCTTGCTTGTTTTCAAATGTCTAATTTCACCACTTTTCAACAGGAATGGTCTGTGATTTGCCAGCATATCTAGATGATATCTATAATGCTTCACATTTCAAGAAAGTAGACCATCTCAGTCTCCTGTTTAAAATTCCTCACTGGCTTCTCATGCCTTCCAGGTCTAAAATCCCCAGCAAGACCCTGGATGACTTGGGTCTCCCAACCTCACAGCCATGTCACCTGCCTTTCCTTCATGCCCCTTTGGCCTCCAGCCCTGCTTCAGTGTGCAGGGTCAGCCTGTGCCCTCCACCCCACCTGCAGCCCCACCTCAAGTCTCTTCTTTTGGGAAACATTCTCTGACCTCAAGCTAGCATAGAGGGCCTCTCTTCTCTACCTCCAGGGGCCTTTTCCATTTCTCAGTTTAGCATTTATTTCATGGTATTTTTTAATAGACTATTTTTAGAGCAGTTTTAAGTTTACAGCAAAGAGGTTCCGCATACCCTACACATGCGCTGCGTCCCCCACTATCAATATCCCCCACCAGGGTGGTCCATTTGTTATAGTTGATGAGACTACATTGTGACATCATAATCACCCAAAGTCCAGAGTTTACATTAGAGTTCACTCTTGGTGTTGTACATTCTATGGGTTTAGACAAATATATGACATGTATCCATCATTATGGTATCAACAGAATGGTGTCACTGACCTAAAATTCCTCTGCTCCACCTATTCATCCCTCTCTCCCCCTTAACACCTGGCAACCACTGATCTTTTTACTGTCTGTGTAGTTTTTTTTTTTCTGACTGTATAGTTTTGCTTTTTCCAGAATGTTGTATAGTTGGAATCATGTAGTATATAGCCTTTTCAAACTGGCTTCTTTCACTAAGCAATGTGCATTAAGTTCTTTCCATGTCTTTTCATGGCTTGATAGCTCATTTCTTCTTAGTGCTGAATAATATTCCATTGTCTGGAGGTACCACAGTTTTATCCATTCACCTACTAAAGGACAGCTTGGTGGCTTCTAAGTTCTGGCAATTAAGAATAAAGCTGCTGTAGGGGCGCCTGGGTGGCTCAGTCGTTAAGCGTCTGCCTTCCGCTCAGGTCATGATCCCAGGGTCCTGGGATCGAGCCCCGCATCGGGCTCCCTGCTCCACGGGAAGCCTGCTTGTCCCTCTCCTACTCCCCCTGCTTGTGTTCCCTCTCTTGCTGTGTCTCTGTCTGTCAGATACATAAATAAAATCTTTAAAAAAAAAAAAAAGAATAAAGCTGCTATAAACATCTTTATACAGGTGTTTGTATGGACATAAGTTTTCAGCTCCTTTGGATAAATACCACCAAGTACAATTGTTAGATCATATGGTATGACTATGTTTAGTTTTATAAGAAACTGCCAGGGCGCCTGGGTGGCTCAGTTGGTTAAGCGACTGCCTTCGGCTCAGGTCATGATCCCGGAGTCCTGGGATCGAGTCCCACATGGGGCTCCCTGCTCAGCGGGGAGCCTGCTTCTCCCTCTGACCCTCTCCCCTCTCATGCTGTTTCTCTCTCTCTCAAATAAACAAATAAAATCTTTAAAAAAAAAAGAAAGAAAGAAAGAAACTGCCAAAATGTCTTCCAAAGTAGCTATACCATTTTGCATTCCAACCAATCAGGAATGAGAGTTCCTATTGCTCCACATTCTTACCAGAATTTGGTGTTGTCAGTGTTCTGGATTTTGGCCATTAAAATAGGTATGGAGTGTTGTCTTATTATTGAATGTTTTTTTGTTTGTTTTGTGGGGTTTTTTTTTTACTTATTGAAGTATAGTTGATTCACAGTGTTACATGAGTTTCAGATGTACAACATAATGACTTGACAACTTTATTCATTATGCTATGCTCACTGCAAATGTAGCTACCATCTGTCACCATACAGCTCTACAGTCTCATTGACTATATTTCCTGTGTTGTAGCTTTCATCCTCATTACATTCATTCCATAACTGGAAGCCTATATCCTCCCCCCCACTCCTCCCTCCTCTGGCAACTACCACTTTGTTCTCTGTATTTATGGGTTTGTTTCTGCTTTTTGTTTATTTGTTTTGTTTTTTTAGATTCCACATATGAGTGAAATCATATAGTATTTGTCTTTCTCCGACTTATTTCACTTAGCATAATACCCTCTAGATCCATCCATCCATTTTGTTGCAAATGGCAAGAGCTCATTCCTTTTTTATGGCTGAATAATATTCCATAATACCCTCTAGATCCATCCATTTTGTTGCAAATGGCAAGAGCTCATTCCTTTTTTATGGCTGAATAATATTCCATTCCATATATATATATACACCATATCTTTTTTATCCATTCATCCATGAATGGACACTTGGGCTGCTTTCATAATTTAGCTATTATAAATAATGTTGCTATAAACATCGGGATGGATATATCTTCAAATTAGTGTTTTTGTTTTCTTTGGGTAAATACCTAGTAAGGGAATTACTGGATTATATGGCATTTATTTTTAATTTTCTGAGGAACCTCCATATGCTTTTCCAGAGTGGGTGCCTTGGTTTGCATGCCCACAAACAGTGCACTAGGGTTCCTTTTTTCCGCATCCTCACCAATACTTGTTTTTTCTTATCTTTTTTATTTTAGCCATCTTAACAGGTGAGGTGATATCTCACTGTGATTGTGATTTGTATTTCCTTGATGATGAATGATGTTGAGCATCTTTTCATGTGTCTGTTGGCCATCCAAATGTCTTCTTTGGAAAAATGTCTATTCAGGTCCTCTGCCCATTTTTAATTGCATTGTTTGGATTTTTTTTGGTGTTCTCCTTGTTTTAATTTGCATTTCCCTAATCACATGATGTTTGACATCTTTCATATGCTTATTTGCCCTCTGTATATCATCTTTGGTGAGCCATCTGTGAAGGTCTTAGGCCCATCTTTTAATTGGGTTGTTTGTGTTGTTGAGTTTTAAGAGTTCTTTGTCTATTTTGGGTAACAGTCCATTACCAGATGTGTTTTTTTGTGAATATTTTCTCCCATATTCATGATGTTTTTCTCATTATTTGTTCATCTCGGCCAGACTATGGAGTTCACAAGAGTAGGGACTGTAGCATTCATCGTTACATTTTTCATGCTACACATATATCCCACACTAAGTAGCATTGTATACATATTTGTTTGTTGAATAAATAAGTCACAAAAGTTGAATTAAAAAAGAAATAAGGAAACCAGAGAAATCACGTAAGAGGAGATATGAACAAAGCAATAAGAATATTTCTCTTTCCTTATCAAGGAAGTGGAAACTAAGATAAGGAATTCCATTACACCTATTAAGGAGGCAAATACTGAGGTGATACTAGCATGCAGCTCAGTGAAGCTAGCACTCTGTAAATGGATGGTGAAAGTGTGAATCAGAAAGTCCTTGTGGGAAACACCTTCTGAAAGGGTGTTTCTGCATCTCCAATACTCATATTCTTGGCAGAGTGATTCTGCTTCCAGGAATCTATCCTAAGGAAGGTATCTCACTACAGGAAAGGCCTTATGTGGAAAGCTGTCCACTGCCTCAAACCTGTATGTCCAGTATGGAGGGAACCGTGACACATCACCTAAATTGAATATCGATAAGACAGTCCTTACAACAGCTCTACAGCAACCTACAAAGTAGAATGAGACATTGCCCTGACGGTTTGCTTATAATGATTTCAGTACGTATGCATCTGGAAAAAAAGACTAAAAAGATGAGGCAGAATGGAAATACTTGGTTGGGTAGTAATGTGGGCAACTTTTAAAACTTACTTTTTGTTGTAATTTTGTTTTTGCAGTACATGGAAATTATAAAAAGCTTGGGAACACTTATATAATCTCATAAGTGAGGGAAAAAATGTCTGAGGAATCTCATGTTAACATCTATGTCTTGAGGGGCAGAGAGAAGTTGCGAGGGAAGACACTGCCTCTGGACTCCAGTTTTGCTTTCTCTTGGGCCTAGGCACTGTGGTTGGTGTGGACGAGAGCACTGCTTTCTCCTGGCCCACTTGCGACCTGTGTGGCAACGAGAGATTGGAACAGAGCCCAGGAGACAGGTGAGGGTGCAGGAGCTGGCCTGAAAGACCCCGGGGCAGCCGCAGCCAGTCCGAGGGGCTCCATGGCCACACTGCCTCGGGCCAGCTTCCCCTGCTAAGGCAGGGCCACCACTGGGAAACCAAGTTCCCACGCTGCCGCTTGGAGGCCATGGCACTAGGTGTGTTTACTTCTTTGTAACAGGGATTTTTGCTGGTCCTTTCAGTTCCTCCCATCTTAAAAGAGAAAAGAGCCAGGTTTTGTACTCAGGTCCTTTATTATCAGTTAGGAGAGAAGAGAAAAAGGGCAAACCTGAATAAATGAGACAAACTTGGTAACTGTACAGCTTGTCTTTTGCAGGGGTGCAGACTTTTCCAGGGACCAGTGAACAGCTATATAATCAGACATTCATTCTTTCCCCAACCAGAGTTACTGCATATCCTCCCTGGGGCTCAGGGAGCTGGGGCTGGGTATCAATGTCATTCTGAGCCAGTTCCCCAGGCTCCCAAGGTGACTTTGTCACCTGACAGAAAGGGGCATGCTCATTACTCTTCTGCTTCTTAATAACCAAAGCACAAGTGTTTTCTTGATGCTTCCTGGGTTGGTGGTCTTATGTATAAACAAGGCATCACTGGATCATTCTAGAGACAAGAAGAGTGTGTATCACAGGTTTACTTGGTAGCAATAAGGAGCATAGCTACTGGTGATTAGAAGTAGATTTTCCTGTTCAGGCAGATGGGAAGCCCTGACTTCCCCTTGCTGAGCAGAGGGCCTCCACTTCGCTTCATGGGTTGTTTGCTGTCATCCTCTATGCCCAGCTTGAATGAGGCTTCCCTGAGTGTCCCTTCCGTCCCCTGGGGCGTCAATTGCCCATGCAGTGGTTAGCCAGAAGCTGACGCTGATCCCTCAGAACAGGCTGAGCTTCTTCTGGCCTATTTCAGGAACTTGGTTTCTGAGAGTAAATCCCCCTTTTCTATATCAGCAAACACTCAGGTTCAGAAAAAAATGTCTACTGCTAGACTCTTTTGATTTGTGCCTTTTCAAGTCTTATCTTCCTTGTGTCTTTCCAATCAACAGAGGCACCTTTTCCTGTGGGGACTGCTCCCGTGTGGTCACCTCTCCTCTCCTCAGAAGGCACCTGCAGGTGTTCCTGGACTGTCCGTCTCGACCCCAGTGCACAGTGAGGGTCAAGGTAGGAGCGGTGCAGGAGTTCATGTGCATCCTACTCCACCTCATGGAACTGCTCTGCCACAGTAGCCAAGAGGGCAGCATCTGTTGTTCCTGCCCTGGGGAGGGAATGGGAAGGACACCCCCTCAGGAGAACAGTCTTTCCACATCCAGGACTTACAGTCACATTTGACATAAGGCTCTGAGGTGGAAGCTGCTAAAGAAATGAAGGTGGTTTAGATTGAACATTACCCTCCATGCGTGGGCGTGAGCACTTGCCCCAGTCCTGGGAGTTTAATCAGCCCGCCCCACTGTTATTGCAGCTGTCCCAGGCCAGTATTTCTTCACTCCTGAGTTTTGCCGCCTGCGAGGATGGGGTAAGTCCAGGAACATGCAGCCCAGGTGTGCACCCCTGTGTTCTTAAGCCCCGAGTTAGTGGATCATCTCCAGGTGAAGATCCTTGTCCCATGTACTTTCAATTACAACAAAGTGCCACAATATCAATTGGGTGCGTGCTAAGTGTTTAGACTATACCAAGACATGGATATGTCTTACTGCGGTTAATAACTATACAATAGTCAATAATAAGTCTTACTCCCTGACAAATACCTGTGTCTGTTCATGAGATTCTTTCCTTTTTGGAATTGAGGTGATTTCCTGACCAATCTTGCAGTAGATACATGAATATGCCGCCCTGGCTTTGATTATAGTTAGACCAGGGACATTTCAAGTACTACTGCCATGATTCATGTTAATAGAACAGAAATATCTGAGACACACATTTTGTGTTTTTTAATTGCTGGGTATTCCAGAGTCTGAGTAACTGGAAACTTGACCATTATTTCTCAGAACTCTTTTGCCTTCCCTGAGAGTTACTATGGTGTGAGGCTTATTAAAGTGGTATGCTCCTCCAAGAAAACCACCACCTAAATATACATAACTTACAGTCTAGAGACAGTTTCTTCCTTGTGAAATTTAGCCCTCATAAACAAAAGAGCTCTGTCCTTGAGATGTCACCTCTGTCTTGTCAAAACCAATTAAAAGCACCACAAGTGGCTTCAGGAACCACTGAACCCCAGAGAAGAGCACTGAGGACTGACCCCACTGGGGTGATGCCAGGGCACAGCCCCTAGGTCACAAAAGTTATCTATGGCCAGTGTTAGGGTCCACATCCAAGTAGCAGACTTGGGCCAGCTGGGGAGATTGTGGTGAAAAGGGGGCTGATCATCTACAGAACTTTCTGATGGGGTCCCATGGTCAAATTCCACCTCTGATTGCAGTCTGAATACAAGGCTGAATTTATCCATCCTCTGGAGCTATGAGGGGCTTCTGCCCCTTAGGAAGGGCTGGCAGCATGAGGAGGCGGGGCAGCCATTTGCACTCATTCCTCAAAACCATGGATCTCAAAGTTTGGATTCATTGGGTACGTGGATAAATCCATGGATAGGATCCTTGAGGATCACTGGTCTGACTGTGGTTTCCAACCCTGATTTCAGGGTGGAACTGCCTGCGGAGCTCTAAAAAGAGTTTTTGGCTCCGTCCCTGGGATAAAGCCCACCAGCCTGCGCATAGTTCCCTAAAGCAACTCCATGACACCCCCAGCCCAGCACCAAACCTTTATCTAAAGGGCTCTTTCACATGTAGGGACTGATGTGTAGACCAGGCCGTAGGAGGGTTTATGAGCTAGTTATTCCCTGATTGTTTACAAGTAAAATGTAAGTAAATAACTCTAATGGACTAAGAACTATGCTCACCACTTTTCTCACACATTGCCTTATTTAATCTCTCCAACATCTCAGTGGTGCAGGATCCACATTTTACCACTGAAGAAACAAGAGTGCAGGGCTCACAGTCACGGTCTCTGTTGGGTACATTGTGGGGACAAGTGACCACCTAACAGAGTGGGGGGAGGGTGACAGGGTCCTTATGTGTATGTTTCTATTCTTCCTGAAGTTTATATGTTTAATGTGTGACGAGACAGTGGTACCTGTTGGCTGATCCCTTGTCACCTCACCTCTGTCTTTGAGGTGGGGTTGGGGAGGAGGAAGAAAGAAGGGCGTGACGCTGGGTAAGGCTGATGAATTGGAGGGATCTTTAAACAGGTGCTAAAAATGGCAGATCTAAGTTATCAGGGAAGATATTTCCATGGAAAAGGTTGAGGGAAAGTGTTGGGGAAAACTCCTGCTTAAGGAGAACACAGAGCAAATGAACCAAAACGCACAACCTAAACAAACAAAAACCAACAGCACTTGGGATGGCGCCTAGCTCCCTGTAGTCCCACACAGCACAGAGGTGCAGTGCCTGCCCTGCAGTTCCTCGGGTGGCCTTGGCTGGGCCCTACCAGGCTTAAGCCTGATCTCGCACTGGTTTCTCGCAGGCTCTCCAGGAGAGCAGCCTGGTGCTTCTTCTAGAAAGCCTCCAACCATGGACTGCCCTTGACTACCCTAACTCCCTGTAGGGACCCAGAGACCAGGAGGAGGCCCTGGCAGAAATCCTGCCTCTTCATTTGATTTCCTTCTGACTGAGGCTGACTTGTACCTCTCACACATTACACTTCTTAACTACAGTACGCCCGTAGGCAAAGCCCTACTTATAAAGAGCTAGGGCGTGTGTACAACCATACGTGTGTGTGTGTGTGTGTGTAGGTGGGTTTGCCCATGGGTGTGCTTGAATGTGTGTATACACCTGTGTGTGCTCATGTGTACATGAGTGTGCCTGAGTATGTGCCTGTGTGTGCACATGTGCACTGGGTGAGAGGCACAGGGTGGCAACAGCCTCAGGTATCACCTTTCTGGGTGCTCTGTTATCAGAGCTGACGCCAGTCAAATTAGGGTAAATTGCAACCTGGAGGGACAGAAGCTCATTCCCCCTCCTCCAGCTTTACTCACAGTGGATAATCAGGGCTTTACATCTGACCTGCAAGAAGCTGATAGAATATGGGTACAAGAAGGACCTCGGTGTAGACACGAGGATGAGTTTTCCAGTCTGGATTCTGTCAGTTTTCTGGGTGAGAATGCACATTGGCCAAAATCCAAAGAATCAAATTAGGCTTTCCACGAGAACTCTATTCCCTGGAACAGATGTACTGTTTCTGGTTAGGACACATGAGTGTTAAGTTTTATGCCATAACTTTAATATGTTCAAGCTACAGATGTGAAAACAATGGAGTTCGCCACTGTTGTACATGTCAGTTCTCAAAGGTCACATTACAGTAATATGAAATTTGGAGTTTGTTTCCTTACTTTCAGAAAAAGAAAAGTTAAAGGAAAATATACTGTGCCTTTTAAAAATAGAGACACGTTTTACACATTCATTACATTCATATGAACAGTGTGTTTGCATTTGCTGGTGTGATTGTTTTTTACCTCTCCATGTTAATTCCCCCCAAAATATATTTATCATTTGATCTCTGTTTATAAATGATATAGTTATTATTGACTATGCTATAGTTATTATAAACTTTAGCTGTGAAACCTGACATTGTAAAAAGAAATGATCTGTTACTGACTTTTTTTTCAAGTTAGAATTCTGTACTTTTACCCCAAGTGAGTGTAGGAGTGCCTGGGCCTTCTACTTCCCCACACACAAATGTGCAAGGCTAGCTAAAGTGGGAAGAGACAGCAAAGGAGTATCCAGCTGGCCTACCTCAGTCCTGCCAGACCTGGACGACAACGCCTCACTCTGCACGGCCCTGTGCGTGCCTTCCGCACCAGCACCCCCGTGGCTGTCTGGTCCTCTGCCATCTTTTCAGGGTCAGGCCCCTCATGGGTTCATAGCAAGCCCTTGATTAATGATCAAGGCAGTGAGCCATGAACCTGACATCTGTCACAGATGAGCTAAGTGGAGGAAGGTCTCAGCCATGGTTGTCCAGTCAGAGACTTGTCCAGTTCCATCTCTTCACCTGTCTTGATTATGACTTCTACTCCCCTATCCCTCCATTAAACCACTCTGTTGACCTTACTCTAACATTTTTTACTAAAGAAGCCTGAACTCTACAAATCATATTGAATATGCTTGGTGTTTCACACCATGCCTGACTTAAAAGACAGGAAAGCAGAATGATCACAGTGGTTTGGCATTAGGGCAGTGCTCACATCCCAGATTGATCCTGATATTTATTGCTTCAGAACAAACCATCTCAAAGCTTAGTGGCCTCCACACTTACTCTGCACACAGATCTGCAATTTGGATAGGGCTCTGCCAGGACAACTCATCTCTGCCCCACAGGACATCAGCTGGTACCCCAAAGGCTGGGCTAGAGTCACAAAATGCCCTTCAGTCCCTGGCTGGCTCTTGTACTCCTGTTGCCTGGGACTTTCCCGGGCTCAGGCCAGATGCCACACAGTCTGGATTCCCTCATAGCATGTGTCTGGATCCCGAGAGAGGCAGGCAGAGGCTGGGCACCTTCCTGACCAAGCTGGGGACGCCACTCAATGTCCCTTCCACCACACTCTTCATAAGAAGCAGTCAACTGAGCCCAGCCCAGGAGCCAGGGTGACAGCAGTGAGGTGCCCACCTTTGATGGGAGGGCACCAAGGAGCCACAAACATGTGCCGACTTTGGCTGCGTTGTCGGAGCCCTCCGGCCTCAATCTCCTTTGCCAAGACACATTAATGATGGAACGGGTGAGCTAAAACACACTGAACTGAGCTACTGTAGAGATGTGTTAAGCGTCTTGCCCAGAAGAGTGAGGTACCCCAGACAGTACTCTGCAAGTGGCAGCAAAGGAGTCTCTGAAAAACGCATGACCCTCTAGGGCTTCGGTCTCTGGTAAAGCCACAGATCTGACTTATCCCCAGGCTTTTGAGCTGCTCTTTATTTTCAGCCCCACCCCAGGAAGAAAATGTTCTGAGGTTTGAGACCACTGAGGCCCTGCCATACCTTCCTAGCCTAGTCATCTGGTACCCCTGCTGCCCAGCGCCCTGAGTTCTCATCTAGAGATGAAACCTGCCCAAGATTAACCAATCACCATAAGATACTCATCAAACAATGTGAAGAAAAAGCTTTTTACAATATAGACATTTTTGGCTCAGTGTTACTCTAGAAGAAATGGGATCCTAACTGAGGAGGGAGGTTTGGGGCAAAGTACCAGGAAATCCTTTGACCAGAAGTGTTGCTAGATTGGGGAAGTGTCCCAAAGGAAGTGGGAGACAGCTGCAAGCATGATGCACGCCCAACCCCCAGCCTTCCTGCTAGAGAACAGCGCATATCCCTTAGTATGTCTGTCCCCAGTTCCTCTCATAGGCCAGCCAGCTGGGACACACTTGTCGTTGCATCCACTAACAGCAGAAAAAAGGAGTTCCTTCATTTGCCATAGTAAATAGAGCTTTTATCAAGCCTTTAATTTTTTTCCTCCTTACCCATGTTGTTCTTACCATTTGAAAAGTGGAAGGTCACAGACTGAGGAAAGGACCTTATGCTCTGCTCTTTGGTGTTCTGTGTTTTTGGGAACAGAACGTCCAGGGCTAGCTCTATTTGCTTTAACCAGCATGCCTTCTATCACTGCAGAGTTATGAAGTGAAGAGTGTCCTCGGAAAGGAGGTGGGGTTGTTGAATTGTTTTGTCCAGTCCATAACCACCCACCCAGCTAGCTGCGTTGGATTGGAGGAAATTGAGCTCCTGAGTGCAGGAAGAGCCTCTTCCGAACACGGCCGGTTGCCGTAGGATTTGTGAACTTTGTGATGCAGCCGCAATGGTGGTGGAGGTGGTGGCGGCTTGGGGTAGTTATTTGTTAACTATGGGCAGAGCAAATGTATGATCTTGAAATGGGACTTAAGATTTTTCTGGGTCAAATGTTAGATGATTTTGTGAACTAAACATCAAAATACTTTTTCCTTGTTTTTGCAAATTTAGGAACATGTTATTAAAACTTAATAAGCCTGAGGTATTCATTTTGTATTTCATCTTAGTCAATAATATTAAAACAGCAAGAAAAAAATTTCGTTCACTTGTAATTTTTTAAGTGTTTAAATTTTACCATGATTCAACGTTTTTCTTGTAGTTATTTAACACTGTCCCAAAGAATACCCTGCAAAGCTGAAACATTTGTCCTAAATTGTAATATTACTGTTCTACACAGTACATGTCCAACTTAGGCATTTTGCAGCTTAATATTTTTTGGAAAATGTTCTGGTAAACTGTGTCAGAGGTAAAACTGTTACCCATAAAGTATAGATAAGTTACCTGGTGTGATTATCACCACACTGCACAGAGGTATAGATAGCTCACTCTAGATAGGCCTGTTTAATCTTGTGGGTACTGTGCACAGAGAACCAAGATAACAGATTCAAGAAGAGTGATTGGTTATTGTTTGCTTTGTTGGCAGAGATTTAAATTAACATTAAATGATGAATAAATTATCTTTAGACAAAGATTGTTTCCTCCCTTGTAATAATATCATGACAGGCCATGGTTATTAATTACCTAATATAGACCTAGCAGCCCAGAGCAAGAAAAGGTGCCTAGTACCTGCTTTAACTGGGAGAAAGGCAAACGGCTTTATTTGTCCTGATTAAGCTTTGAAACATTACAATGACTGGCAAGATAGCCGGTTTTGAGTAGCTTTTTGACTGTCCTTTGCATCTACTACAACAGGACTATTTTGTACTTAATACCCACTTTGAGAAATGTATTCAAAGCAGTACATAAGACTGAGGAAAGTGAAAGCAAAGTCCCATGAAAGCCAAAGATTAGTCAGACATGCTTTTCGGATAACCAGAGCCCTCCACTACCCCCTCACCCCTCGAGCAGCCAACTAAAATTAGGGCGCCCTTCAGCTCTTCTTCATAGAGCCCCTAAATCAGCTCAGGGACAGTCGGCCAGCCAGCCCCCCTCCCCAAGTCGGGCTACTTCTTTGGGAGCACCTTCCACCAGAAAGCTGCTAGCTTAACATGAGCTTAGTCGTGCTTCGCCGACCTTAGGCAGATATGTAACATTTGTAGGTAGGCTGTGGCTGGTTTCAAAAGCAAAACAGACCCCCTCTTCTAGGGACCTTGGTTCCCCCTCATGGACACACACCTGGGTCCCGGGGCCTCCCCGGTGCCTTGCTGCATGCCCTTCCCCAGCGAGGTCCTGGGGGCTACCAGCGTTCAGGAGTCACTGTGAATACCGGAATCGGGTGGTTTTAAATGCTTCTTTATTCTTACAAATACTGTAAAAATTAATATAAAAAAAGTGAGCATGCTCAGTCTTTTCCTCTTACCTACAATACAAAGGATTTGTCTGAAAAGTCTTTTTTCTTACAAATGTACCTTAGCTGCATCAATAGGAATAAGATGTAGAAAAGCTACCATTATAAAAATAATTTAAGGGAAAATAAACACGTATAGCTTCTCTCGAAGTTCAGTGGTGGTTAAGTCCAGGCTGTAGGTTCCTTCGTTCGCGTGTCCCAAAGAAACTGCAGCCGGCGCCGAGCGGCTCTCGCGGCGTCCGGGCGGGGCGCGCTCCGCTCCCTGGCCGGTCGGGTCTGAGGTATCGGTCGTTGGTTGAGTCTCTCCCGCCCCCGGGGCGCGCGTTACCGGCAGTCGGCGGCCCCAGCGGCCGGCAGGAAGGGCGAGCTGGGCAGCTGCTTGAAGAACTGCCGGAGGCCGGCCAGGTCCCGCGTTAGCTGCTCCACGCGCTGGTGCAGCTTCTCGTTTTCCGCCGACAGCTCCACCAGCTTCTGCTGCATCTCCTGGTTGCGCCGCTTGGCCTTGTCGCGGCTCTTGCGCACCGCGATGTTGTTGCGCTCGCGCCGCTGCCGGTACTCCGGACTGCCGCGGTCCGGGCCCCTCTTCCCCGCACTCTTCTCCCGGGCCGGGCCAGGAGCAGGGCTCGGCCCGGGGCTGGAGCGCGGCGGCTCGGGCGACGTGGGTGGTGTGGGCTGTGCGGCCGCCGCCAGGCTCACCACGGTCTGCGCGCACGCGGCCACCTGCGCCGGCAGCAGCGAGCCGGGCGCGTCGCCGTCTCCCCAGTCGGGCTCGCGCTTGAGCGGACGCGGGGCAGCTGTGCCCGGGCCGTGGGCACGCGCGAGGCCGCCGGGCAGCAGCTCCAGGGCGCTGGCAGAGGCGCCTGCCGCGCCCGCCTTGTGGTTGCTGTTGAAGAGGTCGGCGAAGAGCTCGTCGTGGCACAGCTCCAGGGTGGGCACGGCGGCCATGGAGTCGATGTAGGCGCTGAAGTCGATGGCGCTCTCGTCGTCGTACATGGCAGAGGCAGCGGCGCCTGGCTCGGACAGGCTTCCCGGCTCGCTCCCGCGGCCCGGCTTGCCCGCCCGACCCGGCTCGTAAAAGGGTGCGGGCTCCGCGGGCCAGGGCGCGCCGCGCGCCGGGCCGTCCAGGCTAAAGAGCGCGGCGCTCATGGCAGCGTCGGGCCGGGCTCCTTGTCCGAGCGCGGCTGTCACCTCGCTGGGCTGGGCCCCGCCGCCTTTTCTAGCCCGAGCTGACGCGCACGCCCCGCCCCGGCTCCAGAACCGCTGGGGCGCCCCGGGGCCGCGGGGAGGGGGGCCGCGGGCGGCAGCGTCCAGGGAGCCCCCGCCCCGTCCCAAGCACTCCGCCCGGCCCCAGAGCCGCCCTCAACCCTACCCCCGCCGCCGCTGCCGTACTCTCCGCTGTTCCCGCGCCCCCACCCCCGGCCGCGCGGGAGGGGAAGGGGCGCTGCTTCCTCCCCGCCCCCGGCCCGGCCCGGCCCTTGCGCCTCTGCTGGGAATGACCCTCCCTCTGCCCGCACTCCGGCTCCTTCTCTCCTTCCTGTTTGTTGGGTTTGGAGGCTCTTCGCTTTCGCAGCCGGCAGTGAAATCAAAACCTGGACTTGGCCGCGCCGCGCGTGTCCCGGGCCGGTTCCCATCGTCAAAGGGAGCCCAAACGGGGAGGGCGGCTCTGGCGCGGAGGAGAGCTTGGTGACGTTCTCCAGCCACGGCTCCCGTCCCGGGGACCCTGGTCCGTGGCTGGGGCGGCGGGGAGGGCGGGGGGGGGTGGGGGTGGGGCTGCTTCGCACGTTTCCAGGAATTCGGGGCGCGATTTGGCCCGTCTCATCTGGGTCGAAGGCCCTGGGGGTCAGAGCTCAGCGTCGCGGCTGGAAGTTCCAGGCCGCAGGGACTGGGAAGCGCAGCAAATGGGAGAGGAGTCACGACACAGGTCTGAGCCGCCGGCCGCCCTAAAAGCAACAGGCTCCAGCGCGCGCAGGCCTGACCAGGCCCGACGGCCGGCTGGAACCCCGCAGAGCAACGCGGACCCGAGGCCCCCCACGCTCCCCGCGCGCTGACGTCCCTTCTAGCCCTTCTAAAGCAGTGCCATCTCGCGGCGGTGCCCTGCTCCAGTTCTATTTTTAGTTTCGAGCTCTTTTTCTCCGCTCAGTATTCTGTAGAAGTTCTTTTGAATCTAAAGCAGTTGGGTCTTTAGGAGAAAGAGAAGATTTGTACTTGCAGCTCCGGTAGAGTATTAAATTGCTAGCTCTTCATACTGTAAAATGCATGAAAACACAGTATGGATTGATTTTGTTCATTACGTTTCCTGAAATTTGGAGCAAGCGTTTCTGGTCAACTCCATTTATTAAATCACTGTCCCTGTTCAACATGGCCTCCATCTCACATCTATGCTTGGCTTAGGCTTCTCACTCACCAGACTTTATGGGCAAACGCCTAATGCTCCACAAATTGCACCGGAGTTTCTGCAGTCAATTCCAGAGGTGATTTCTCATGATGTACTATGGATATTTAATAGGTTTCCTACAAGGACAAACCCGTTGCTTTAGAATTGCTTGGAGAGGGCACACGGTGTTGATATTACACTACTAATTTCCTATGAAGGGCAAAGCCAAGTGACATGTAATGTGGGCTCATGCATACCCAGACTAATTTCTTAGTTCTTATTTAGGAGCCCATAGAAACACTACTGAAGCCCTCTCCAATCAATTAAAGGATGTAAAATAAATAATAGAGAGGAACTATATTCTCATAAAACTTCAGTGAGATTAGTAGATTAAGATATCAGATTAGAATTGAGCTTGAAAGAGATGCTAGGCCAACATTTTTAAAATGTATTATGCACTAATAATCACTTTTAGATTTCAATATTTTCTTCCTTTTTCCAGAAGGATTTAAAGGAGAGGTCATAGACCAGCAAAGTATAGATCTGTTGTGACATTTTAGGACAAATTACTTTTTTAAAAATAATAAACAGTTTAGTTTTTTTGATGGTAGTTCATAGTCCGTTCTTGAAATCTCCACTTTCTGCCCTTTCTTAGCTCTACTATAAATTTGTTCAAGATACTGAGTTGTTCATCATTTCTCATTGTTAGGGATCTGTTTTAAGTAATTACTTGAGCCTTCTTGAGTCTTTGGTATTCTGAGCAGAACTGCCGAAAGGAAGGCATCAAGTAAGAAAGCATTCCTGTAAAACATTGGAGCCTTTGGATTCCCCATGTTTATGAGGACACATCTATGTTGAGCACAGTAGAGATGTTAGATGAAGTCCACTCCCTACGGACTTTCTGAACACATCAGTCTTTTAGAAATCCAGGAGGCTGAAAATGCTTAAAATTTGCAGTATGCTCTAGTACACGGGTTTCCTCCTCCGTGTTCATAACACAGTGACCATAACTCAGTTCTAATGAGGGATCATTTTGCCACACTTTATATGGCACAAGATGTGAAACAAGAACAGGTCTCCTCCCAATTAAAGTCTAGTACA